GTAACAGTGACAGCCTGCAGTACATCGCAGCAGCAATAGCTTCGATAACGGCCATTTGCCGTGGTATTATTGTGAATCGAAGTAAAATTGATGGTAGCAAAGTTGTTTGCAGGAAAAATTAAAGCCGAAAAATTGTTCAACTAATACTTACATTCCCCGTACATTTTCCTGTTTTTCCTCAGTTTTTTTTTTTTTTGGTTTTTCACATTTGATGAAAAAACTCCTGGGAAAATCGAAAATTGACCTTCTTAAATTATCATAGAGACTTTTCAGAAAACAAGCTACACTTGATACATAAAAGCAAGATTTCTGGTAGAAAACTTTGCACAATAAATCAAGAGGTATTTGTCAATTAAAATAGGCAGAGCGAGCGATAGCTGGGTCTCTAGGTACACCGAAAATGCATTTGTTTTTTCAATTCTCAATTTTCTCAATTCTGACTCATCGCCGTTCTTAAATCGGTAATATACATATGTTCAAAAAAAAAAAAAAACCTATTCAATTTTTGAGCTTTACTGTTAAGTCTAACAATTTTACCATAGAGTAACTACCGAATAAAAATTATGTGCAAAGCTCGTAAAATTAAAACATCTATAAATAGCTCAAAAATGGCTCAATTGTTTTGAAAATTTTACCATGTCTAGAAAAATCAAATACCAGTTTTCATTCTAACTTTCAAGTTTCTACGAATATTTTTAACAGAATTACAAAAAGTAACAAAATTGAAAAATAATAAAAGCGTTATTTACATGGATTATCCGTTTTTCTTACGTTTAAAACCTGATTATTCCCAGACATTATAGAAACCACTTGGAAAATGAAAAATTTCCTTTCAAAAACACTATCTGGGCAATATTCCCTTTCAGAAATGGTGCCGCACGTATATATCTGATGAAGATTTCTATTAGAATTTTTGTACGTAGGATAAAAAGGAAAAACAAAAGAATTAAAATTAAACATTTTAATAAAACCAATACATTCGTCACTATACTCAAAATCTAAAATACATAACTGTTATTTGTTAATCAATTATAAATATATGTATATAAAATTATAAAAAAGTATTTTAAAATATACTATTAAGGAGATACTGCATACACCTAGTTTTATTCTATTATATTTAAACCGAATGATAAAGAGACCCTTAAATTTGTTCGCATTGAGGCCGAATTTTCATACTTACGCCTCTGTAGGTATGTATATTGTATACTCACCCCTCCCGTCCCTGTATTATATCCGACAGTTGTACAATGTGTGGCCACCGAATGTGTGACATCGGAAAGCTATATATTATATTCAGTGCCGTTCACATATTATATACAGAAAGTAATTACAATTTTTCCGCTGATAAATGGTCACGACGGCAGAGATCCTGCATTGTGTACGCGTCGAAAAAGACCAAACTGTGACTTACGGCCATTAATTATTACTCTCGGGAATTACCATTAATGTCCGACTTTTATATTTTAAGACTATACGTATATACAGCGACCGATTCAAAAATGCATCGCCACCCATGTAAAATATCAACGTCAAGAACGATAACCTTTCAGAACTAAATGCGTATAAATAAGTAAAATAACATAATATAGGTAACGTATAAAACAATAGAATAATAAGTACCTATAATAGTTTATAATAATAGCTAGGTTAGGTTAAACTCGTTTATAAGGTCGATGACAGCGCCATTAAAGATTATTATATACCCGCAGTAATAGTATACGATTTAATTTTGAATCGATTCTTTTGGAAATTAATGGTAAAAAGCAGGACATTCTGTGCACCATGGGTGGGCCTGATGTGTTGTAGATGAGTAGTTTCGAAAGTATAGATTTTAGAGCAAATCTAGTTTATAATGCACTGAAATCAACGATGAATTAATGTAATAAAAGAAAATCCATAACAGTCAGAAATCAATAAAATTAAAACCTATTGAAACAGATGTATCGCCATTTGTCATTGGTTTTAATATCTTGAAATGAAAACTATTGGAAAACTAGAAAAATATTCAAATGAATTACCACAAGGCAGAAATTCCTCATCTCTAAATAGTTCGGTATGAAAAAAATCAGAGCGTTTTTACTAACCGTAAAAGAAAAAAAAAACACGTACATTTTAGTAAAACTAATAGCTCTTCCACTACACTCAGTGTGTAAAACGGATAAAATAAATTTATGGCATCAAATATTTTATGTATAAAACATATTATGGAATTGAATTTTTTTACTCCTGTGATGTTTAACAATACGATGAACGGTTTTATTCGTATGATTTTTTTTTTAAGCTAGACTATAATAATGCGTGTAGGTACCAATAATGTTTTATTATAGTTTATAGCGTTCATCTATTCGGTTTGTGTATTAAACAGAAATATCAATGAGTTTCCTAATAGTATAAAAAATACAGTAAACAATTTATAATTAATTAAACCAGTCATATTCGAGGTAGATAATTTTAACATTTATTATTTGAAAAATAATATACTGTATAACCGTATTGTAATCATCCGATTTAATAACTAATTTCCACAGTTCATTTTAGTTTAGTAAAACACAAATGTCAAAAACTGATACAATATTATTTTGACTATGAATAAAATTATTTTAACCTAAAAATCGTGTTTTAGTTCTCATTTTTATTCACGAACAATTTGCGCTTAGTGAAATCAATATTTACATATTACCGTCATCATATTAAAGTGTATGTGTTAAATATTATAAATAAGAATGTGTTTCTATACAGTGTGCATACTTGGGCGGATCTAGGCGAAAAACGTCAGAAAAATAAAAGTTAACACCTACAGCTACGTGCGATAAAACTATCTATATTTTATTGTATAGTATATATTATTCATAATAACAAAAGAAAAAAAATTCACAGAAAAATAAAATAAATATCTTTGTAAAACCATAAGCTTTACTTTTTACTATAATAGTAAGGAATATCCTACGTAAAACGCTATAACCGAGTCAAATAGTCAAATACCTATGTACCTTATGGAAACCTGACAACATTGCACTAAAATCTTAAGTACAAAACGTACGTAATCGTGTGCCTTAAAATGTGCACAATTCCGTTCGCGGATAAGGGCCGAACGGAACCGAGTTCTACCCTTCAACACGCGTTTAACCGAACTCCGCTCAGAATCGTTTTTCGAAAGTTCCTCCTAGTTCAGAGACCTAGTCACGTCTATGATTGTGTCTGCGATTTTTGTTATCCGTCGTATACGAGTCTATACCAGTAAATTGTCCGACTATCTAAAATATTATTGGTGCGAGCGCTTCCCCCCCCCCCGATTTCCAACTGTGAGATGTGCCTCCCGCAAGGAGTCGCGAGCACATAGCAGAAGAGCGGCGAAATAAACGCTACACACATTAGTTTCTAGACGATTCGGCTTTTGGCGCTGATTCGTAATCGGGAACCGTGAAAAATAGAAATATCCCGAAATTAGCGACAAAGTTTCGCGTGAAACATCAACGCGGAAAAGAGAACTCGTATAGCAATCACAACGATACGCGTACATCCTAAACGGGAAACGACCCGGCGACCACCGCGCACGAATGATACCGAAACGGTAAATCCGATTGATTCTTCCATGGCATATTATTATTGTTATACTACGGTTTACGCCATTAATCGCACGATGATAAACACCGACGACGGGACGGCCGTTGTAGACCGCGGATGAAAAAGAACGGACGGGCCATTCCTGTACAGTTTCGACGTAGGCCACCGCGTTCCTATTGAGCGGATGTAACGTCTCTGGCTCACAAAGCTTTGCGCAATGTGTCAACGCGATAATTTTATAATTATTATTATTTTTTTTTCTGAATATTACAACGGTTCGCCGTTCCGTTATTCGCGAGTCGGCGATTGCGAATTAATATCCGATCGATAGTATTATTATCGCCGTGTAATTTCGGACGGCGGCGGGGATACACCGATTTCCGTCGTCGAATATCTATACTGGTGTAAAATAACCGGTATCGAGTGTTGGCAAACCGGTACGAAACGTATCCCGTACGCCGGTTCGTACCAACGAAATTTTTAATATTATCGTACGGCGCCGAGGGTTGGCGCACTATTTTTTTTTCACACGGACGCGGCGACGACGGCGGCGTGCGCGAGTGTTAAACACGCGGTACGGTCGGTTTTATTGCGGCGCGCCCCCGTCACTTCTTTTCCATTCGCGTACGCCCGTCGAAATCCCAATCGCGAACCGCGCGCCGCAGCAGCGGCCGGTGAACCGTGTGGCAATAAAAAATCGCCGATTGTCTTTGGCGAGTCTGCGGCGCGCCGCCCGCCCTCGCGCACGCACGCGTATTACGCCTGACCACTATACAATAAAATATAGTGAGGAATCAATTTTCTCTCTTTCTGGCCGAGCGTAATAACGAAAATAGAGGTGTCCGTGCGGGAGCAGTCAAAATCCTATTCCTAGGGATTACGGTGCATTAAGCACTCGTAGTATTCGTACGCATATATATATATATATACATATATATATATATATATGCGTGTGTGCGTGTGCGTGTGAGTTCACTAAAGTATATATAGTACTCAGGTATTGCCTACATATATATACAATTTATACCGATGCCGTTGTATTTCAAACAAACAGCAATAATCCGATGGGCGGCGCGGAAGAGGGAAACGAGCGTTTACTATATATTGTATATACATAATATTATTATATTATATACGTGCAGCTGTATACAATAATACGACTCGCTAAGCCCGGCGATAGAGAAAACTTTCATACGCATAATACGCGGAAAATAGTTATATATTATATATTTATACTGTGTGTGTGTGTGTGTGTGTGTACACGGTGAGGTGTTCGATAAAATAATATGATATTATGTATCCGGGGACGTAATAATACACCTCTACGCGCCGCGCGTACGAATAAATTACCAACGATAGCAATAATAACGATAATATTATTAGTGTTATTGATATTGAACACTGCGGCGCGCCGGCGTTTCGATCGCGGATAAATGTGCCGTCGTACGACGGTTACAGTAAGGCGCCCGCTAATACGGGTGCCCGGCAAAGCGCCTCGAATCGAGACGGAGTTCCGTGCGACGGGAGATATTGCCCGATTACGAAACAAGCATAACGGAAATAAATCGCGAGCCGTCGAACCGATACGGACACGAGCGACGGACGGGCCGGCCGCCGGGGAAAAACTAGAAAACTACGATACGCGGGACACGGTCGACCGGCTGAGGGCAGGGATAGCCAGAACCGAGGAAAACCCGGTAAAACGGGGTGGGGGGGAGGGAAATGAAAAAAAAAAGAAAGAAAGTTACCCAGTGAACTCTGCGGACGTGATAGCGTCCAGGACGAAAAACACTTGTCGGAATGTCCGGTTCCGTCATTGGATGCAAGCGGGGACGGACCGGATTTTTCCGACCCTGCGAACAACGCGGTCGCAAAAGCGATCAGTCATCTGACTGAGGAAGAAGAATGAGGAATATTAGCTGACTGGCGCGAGACTAACTTTTATTGTATCCGTGCGCGGAACGGCCGTATATAGCCGTGGATACGGAATTTCTTAATATTTCCGTATCGGTCGTAATCACTGTTAGGTTAGGTTACGTTAGGTTAGGCTGGCGATTCGGGCGACAATTCGTACAACATCAAAGATACGGCGTCCGACGACCCCGGCGTTCGTATTCCGGCCAATCCGTACTCGCGCGAGACGTGAATATAAAATAAATACGGCGGATGACGTTTAGTTGTTAGTGGTGTATCGGTAAATAAATTTTTGGGTATCCTGAATAGTCCACTCTTGGAAAGGCGTCAAATAATCCCAGAAAAAATGTATGGCCAGCCCACCCCTCCACCTCCCCCCACCATCGGAAAATCCAAAAACAAATTATGCAAATATTGCGCACGTAATTCGCTCGTCTGTTCCTTCCCCCAGAAAATCGATACAATTTTTTTTTTTTTTTTTGCCGATATTTAGTACGCAATTAGCACGCTGTTATGTAAAACTGTATTCTAAAATTTGCTTTAAACCGTTTGTTTTCAAACTGTTATATTTTTAAATTTTATTTTTTACCAATATTATGCAGATATGTTGTACATTGGCGTCGGAAATATGTATTTTTCAAGAAATTAATAATCCGTGCGTAAAATAACGATTTTTCCTCAAACGACTAGTGTGTTATCTATAATATCGGCACGTAAAACACTGCCTGATTTTAGACACTTACTGATACGGCAGAGTGACTACCCGGTTTTATTTTGGGTTCAATATTTTTAACTGTAATAAACATAACGATTTGAATTGTGAGTTTATTTATATTTTGTTGTTTGACGATTTAGACCATATTTTCATGGAAAAATAATATTTATGACATAAATATATATCAGTGTAACGTTAATGATGTTGTGGATGTATCTGTTTTTAAATTAGTAGGTATGTTTTTGATTTTAATTATAAACGTTTATTATTTGTATTAAATCTAAAACTGACGATCATTAATTGTCGTTTGTTATTTGGTCACCGGACACTTTTAAATTCGACTAGACCCATCGAAAATACGTAGAAAAAAAAAAAAAAACAGTGTACAAAATTAAAAGTGAAATATTGTGTATCGTCGAATACAATGGAAAAATCCAGTGAGGGAGGGCGGGAGCTGGCTAAGCGTATGTCATTATAATATATAAAATCAAGCCATGTTTTACGAACCGGTGTTATAGATAATATAAAAATCGTTATTTTACGCATGGATTTCCAGTGTCTTAAAAATATATATTTCAGACGTATATCTACAACGAATCTGCTGAATATTTGTGAAAAATATAATAACTTGAAAACAAATTGTTTAAAGCAAATTTTAGAATATAGTTGTTTATACCATCATGCTAATTGCGTACTAAATATCGACGAAAAAAAAAAAATGAAAAATGTTAATATTTCTAGGTAGGGGAGGCCTGGCCAAACGTACGTCCCGAAAAATGTTTATCGCTACGCTCGTAAGGACTTCACTAGGGTTCTTACTATGACGTCAAACTGCCTAACCACCTTGCTACGCCGACCCGTTGCCGAAATGTGCATGCTTCCTCGTGAATAATTTTTACACTAACGTAATTCTGACATTCTATATTGGTAATTTATTTTCGTAATAGTTTCTTTTTTTTTAAATTAATTTTCTTTGTTTATAACAAAATATGTTCATGTAATTATTATTCATGTAAATTATGAATTTGTTTTAAAATTCAAACAAAAATTACGAATTCAGTAATGTCCCATCGAACCGCGATGTAAACGTACAGACTTAGTTAGAATAAGTGAAACGTGACCTGACAGTATATTAGGTTCATCGGGATGTCTGCCATGAAGATTTACATTTTAAACTTGACTACCGGTTTGCTCTCTTTTGGGACAGGCTATAAAATAAAATAAAAGGTAATAATTGTTTATTATTATTATCCCTTTTTTTTTTTTTTTTTTTTTTTTTTTTTTTAACGGTGTTATCGTGAAAATAATTCAAACGCTCGCGTATACCAATACCTTTAATACACATATTTTTTAGACGGAGTGTACCAATAGTCAGCGAAATTGCTTGTTTAGGTTTACGCACAAATCCGAAAATAAAGATCCGGGTATAAGTCGTATACCCGTGCATTATGTCCACAGATCTCAACGTGATGGACGCGTTGCAATGATTACGTTCCAGTATTGAAACTTAGCGAAACATATCGAAATTTGTATCGGTATCTCATCGTGGTCGAGATACCGTTGAAACGGCAGCACCCGAATTGGACACCAGTGTTCCTAATGGTTTTTATTGGTATTACACTAGTTAGGTCCTAATGAATTTTGATTACTATACACTAGTTAGTTCCGAACGTTTAAACGCGATTCAAAACATTTTCCTTCTTATTTTTACTGACTTAGGACTTATAGTATTTATTTTTTCGATGATTATTTCTGTAAAACACAAACCTTTCGGGTTTTTTTTTTTCTGAACTTAACATTTTAATCTAAGTACCTATCTGTTATTTTTAGTATTAAAAACGTCTATAAACTACTATAGGTATTAGGACGAATATTGTGTTTTATTTTTCTTACTTTCCAGACTATTATTATTATTATTATTATTATTATTATTATTATTATTATTACTATTATTAATAGGGTACTAGTCGACTGCGGAAATCCGGACCCAATTTGTATACTACCCTAATAAACCCGGGATCCAACTAGTGTAGATTTTTGATCGTGGAACCCAACTCAGATGCGCCGGTTGAAACAGTCACTGATATGCGCAGTGGCGCAACTAGGGTTCACTTTCGGGAGGGGTTATGAAAATTAAAAATGTATTACTGCTGTACAGACCGGTAGGTGAGTAGTAGGGGGTGAGTATATGATATACAAGGTAATTAAATTTATATATAATGTATGCAACTATATGTTGTTATAAATATTTTCATGATAAATAAATAAATAATTATAATAATAATAATAATAATAATAATATTATCTGAATAATTCAAAAGTTTGAAAAAAGTAAAAGGATATACATTTTTTTTTAGGAGAGAGGCATATAGGTAACCTAACCGATTTTCTCGTGACTCAACCAAAATATCAATGCAAAATGTTTAACCCTTTCAGCATTGACCTAATTGTATAGGTAGGCATCTTTAAACAAATTGTTTTAAATAAAGTTTTTACCATAACAACCTAAATCATGTATTAAAACAATCCTTAGTAAAATATTACATAAATATATTTTTATTTGCACAAAAAACCAAATTTGTATTACATTGGTTGAATAAAATAAAATAATTTGAAGGCACAATACATAGAATACTACAGATTGATTACTGTAGCGCATTACAGGTTATAATATTAACTGTTAAAAAATATTAGTCTTATTTTCTGATAGGCTGCACCGACGGTTATAATGTACATGCACAAAGCAAAATGTCAACTTGACAGACGTGTCACTTAAGTAATATAAAACAGACGATGGAGTTCACGACTAACGCGCGTGTTTCAATGATAACCATCACTTACATTTTCAGTTAGAATTCCAAAAGAGAATATTTTTGAAAACGTCATAAAAGCCGTCCAATGTGCAATATAATACGTTTTAAAACTGCCGGTGCCATTTAAATTCAAACCATTAAAATTAAAATTTTAAATTGTATACAATCATTTTACCGACAATTTTCGAAAAATTTAAAAATAACATCTATCAAATTTATTTTTTTCAAAATAGATTTATATTAATAAAATAATTGTATACATAGACCAGACATTCTAATCTAACTTTACTTTAAATGCAAGGAAAAAACAAGAAAAATGCCTTAAAAATTATTTTAAACGTTGAAAACTTGTTTTTTTATTGGATATATAAATTTATTCAACGCAACAGTGTAAATAATGCTATACAACTATATTACGACTTTGATAAATAGCTTTTCATTTTCTTTATTGCAGCCGGAATTATATTTATCTGCAAGTACAATTAGTAAATTCATAATACATTTTACAAATATAAATATAAATTTATTTTTCTGATAGCACTATGAAGTTAGTAAAAAAATGAAAAAATACCACGAAGCTTAAAAATGCACTAAAAATAAAAAGAGTTCTAAAAATTCAATATAAAAGTTTCATATTTGAATTATTCTTTGATGTATGAAACGATTTTTGTGCTTAGAAAGCATTGGTTTTGGACATTTAGAAAAAAATGCAATTTGCATTATAATCCGCATCCGAATAACTATACAACTTTGCCAGTCACTCGGCTCGAAATCAAAAACCGATGTTTCGCGCTGTTAAAACATTACATATTATTATTATTATTATTATTATTATTACAGAGCATTACGCGACCGTCCGGAAACCGCACGCGGTCCATATAATCGTACGTCCGAGATAATAGAACTGCAGGGTTACCTACAATGCGGTGAAAATACACCGACCGCCACGTGAACGATGTCCGATGTTCGAAATCTCATAAGGTCCGGGGGATTTCGGATCCGTAAGCCGTTTTCGAGTTCATTAAGTTTTGCCGTCGTCGTAATATTCCCGAAACGCTCCACGGCCGTATACCTACGCATTAATATCCTCATTGGTTATTATCGAAGTTTGTGTACCAGCACTTGCCTAGTGTATAGGTACTCAATATTATATATCAATTATTTACTATCGGACCGAAAGGTTACCAGTGAGCTGGCGACAGATTTGAAATCCGCGTGTAATTGTACAGTAGGTATACGAAGATTTATCATCGATTAATATTAATATCGATAGTAATGGAGTACTGTAAACACTAGCGGTGGGAAAAAATACGGATTGGCAGAAGTTCAATAATCCGGATTCCAAACATTCATTTAAAACTAGTATTTTAGATTTTGAACATTTGATTTTAGATTCCTTTATAAGCATTTTATATACAATTCAAAAACTGATGATACGTAGAAATTTATTTAATATAAATGAAAATT